CTTTAGATCAAAAGTATATGTGTATTTAGAATAACAAAAAAACAAAAAAAGTTTTTTGAGAACAAACTTATTTCAAACATTTTTTTTATTGAAATATTATTCTTACTAACATATATTTATTTATTTTTAACTAAAAGAAAGACTAATGAAACAATAAACATTAGTTTTACGTGGTAATTACAAAGTTTTGGGAAACCAATTAAAGGTGACTTAATACATATTCGCAATGCTTACCAAATAAACAACAAAACTGAAAATAAAAACAATAACCATAAATCAGCAAACAACACATATACATATATTATTCAATTAGCGCACATTAAGTTTATATTAAACTCACAGCACTCAATAACAACAAATCTTTTAGGATGCATATAGCATGCTATAGAGGTATATAGTATGCTATAGAGTATATCGGATGTTGTTTGTTGAATTGTAGCATATGTTAAATGTTGTTTGTTCATCTTTTAGTCTGTTCTTACTTTTATGAGCATTTATTTATTACTTGTTCAACAATGAAGATATAAAGCAAATGGAAAAACATAATTTATGTGCTTTCCAGTATTTCTATGCGCTTTTAAACGAATACAAACAAGAGCATAATTAATTGCCAGCAGTAAGCAGATGTACTATTTGCTACAATAATATCTTCACAATTGCCATAAAAAGTTTGCTTATTTGGAAAGTATAACGGCACTACAGGGTGACTTGGAGTATTTAATGTTTTTGTGTACTGGAATGAGTAAGTAAATTCTTTTCAGACTATAGCGTTCAAATGTATTGTATTTGTTATAACTTCTCCTAAGAGTACTAACTGACTCAAGCCAACATGGCTGTTATACTTTAGAGTACAGCTATCTTCCTGAATTTTTCCAACACCGAATAAAATTTTTTTTATTTATATACATATATGTTTTATTTTATTTTGCTTATAATATCGACTATGGTAATAATAATAATGTCTAAACAATTATCATAAGTATATGAATATTTAAATCTTATATAAAATTAGACTTTTGATACTAATTTGAATTCAACATCAGCTGACAGTGAAATGATGTACTGATGTATTTTCAATATAAGACAAATTAGTCCATAACTTGACTCGGGAATAATCGGTGCATTGTCGGCACTAACAATTATAGCACTATATATATATATGTATATTAGGGTGAGTAATTTTTTGTCAACTTTTTCAACTAAAAAGGGGCTAAAAACTTTCAAGAGCTTATAATATCCAAAAGAAAACGTCGAAGACTCAAGAAGTATGTATATGGTATAAGTGATCACAGATGATGGGCTAAGTCGGTTTATCTATATCCGTCTGACGGTATGCCTGTCTGTCAGTATATACGTGAAGTAGTCCATCAGTTATTGAGATATCGACCTTAAATTTTGCAACCGTCTTTTTCTCCCTCAGAAGCTGCTCATTTATCGGAATCTGTCCAGCTGTCATACAAACTGGTCGATCAAAATCAAATCCTTGGAGGAAAAACTTTTTTATTTAACAAGACATCTTTACGGAATTTGGCATGTCTTAATATCCGAGATAAGCACATAGTTGCAAAGTAAACCGAGTGATCAAAATCAAAATAAAGATCTTCAGAAAAGATCTTATTTGCTTATAAACTGATCTTATTTTGACTTGAAGACTAGAAAAAACTAGCAATACGTTTTTCCTTGGATGCAAAGCATTTGCCAGTTATCTTTTCAGATTTACTTAGCATTAAGTTGCGGGGCATTATAGTTTAGTTATGGGCATTATATAATATTTCATAGCACATCCATGTGCAACATATAAGATATTTGGCTGACTAGTTATGTTTGTGGCTCAAACTAGTTGCGAAGTAATTTATAAGCTCTTGATCTGTCTACCACGTTTAACAGCTTTATTCATGTATGCACCATACACAACACAATTTCTATTGAATTCATAAAAGAAGAACGCTTAACAAGTGGTTGCTTATTACAAAGAATTTATCCACTTTGAAAATAAATATAAATTGCAAGCCAAATATTCAACAATTTCACAACAACAACAATAATTGCTGCATGAGAACAACATCAATCTGCAGCTGATGTTCTAAAGTGTTCAGCTGAATGTCCGAAAATGTTAAGGTTAATCAGCTACACAGAAATTGTGCAAGTCCGAGGTCAAACTTGAGCATCAAATAATGCCAAGGATTAGTTGGACAACAGTTGCATATGAGCGCTACATTGATGTTGATTTGCGCATGTTAAGGCACTTATGTACATATAAACATCATTAGGTATTAACAGACGCAAATTCGTACACTCATACATATGTACATGTGGGTACACATGCTTAAGCATTGCATTGCTAGTGTTTATTCTACTCACAGTGCAGCGATTTGAAGCGCTCAAGTGTAAGCACTTCTGACATCTTCCTCCCCCACAGCCACACGTCTGCCGGAATTTGTTTTTACCATACTTACTTTTACGTTTGCATTCGCATTCCGCTTTTATATGCTAAATGCATAAGATTGATTTATGCACTACTTGAAGAAGATTTATGGTGAATTTAATGGAGTAGGTAAACGGAGCGCTGTTTGCATTAAGCAAGAATGATATTGCTAAGCATTATTGAAGTTGGAAATTGTGTTTACATTTGCATTTTCATTGGGTATTTGAGATAATTCTTTTGATAAGGTTTATTTCATGATATACATATGTATATGCTTGAAAGGAATGCGAAAAATGTTAGAATGTAAACGTTGATCCACTCGCTTCACTGTCCATCGCTGCTTTAGTGTACGTGTTAAGTTGGAAGAGCAGCTGGGGCAAAGTTTTAACTTTATAGATATTTTCTAACAGAGCTAGAATGTTTTAGCTAAACTAAAGCCTGTTATTTACTATACTATTTTCGAATGAAATTAAGAAAACTAATGAGTGAAGAGACATTGTGAAATATTAAAGACAGTTGTGAGTAGCAAAAACAAATCACACCATTTTTTCTCGTTATGCGGTTCCACATAAAAAGAAGTTGAAAAAACAAAAGAATTATAATCCTATACTAAACTTTTCCCATTTTTCTAGAACATTTTATGTTATGTTAAAAATACACAGAAAAATTTTTGAAGGTAAAATTTAAATATTTTTTAAGATATACGCGAACTCGGACAACGCTAAATTTTCCCACCACTCCTGTGATTCTGGCCTTACACGTGGATGAAACCTAAAAAATATATAAATTCTCTACTAGAAATTATTGTATGTTCAATATCATACTGTGGAAAAAAATCCAATATTGACAAAAAGGTTGAGTTTTACTCAAAATTTTGGTCGTTTAGGCCTGGCAATTCGAGTTTATTCAAATTAAAAAGCTGGGAGGTCATTGTTTGGAGAAAAAATTTGATAGTCTTCGGATCGTTTGTCTTCAGATAATCACTTAAGCAATTTCGAAAAATGTAATTTTGAAAAAAATGCGTTTAAATATAATATGAGCGCTTACATTTTAGAGGGATGTAACAAGTAAACTTTTTGATATATCAATTTAGAATTTTAGTTAGTTATTTTTAAAGTTGTAACCTATCGAGAAACGAAAAAAAGTTTTTGTTTTATTTTTACTTTAGATGTACCCCTTTAAGCGCCGCCTGGCTTCCATATGCATCAAAACTAATTATCTTAAATAATCTTTCTCCATCAATTCAACCGTCTTTTGGATTGTAATAATTAAACGCAAACAACCTACACGTAAAATCAAAATAAAAAGTAGGCGAGTTGAATTCGATTTCATATCTGTTTTTGCTTTTAAATTTAGAGATAGCAAGCAGAGAAATGGTAAATCGATGATGGAAATTAAAATTATAAAAATCGGTAAGGGTTCACCTATATTTGAATATAACCTCTTTTAGTACTCGATTTCCAATTAAGCTTGAAGGAATAACCGTTTCCCATTCACTGTTATATTTATTTTAAATGTAATTTAGATTATGTTTAAAAAATATTAAAATCTCTGTTTTTCGCTCTGTTCCTTAGGGTGTCTGCTATAGAATAAATAATTTCAAATATCAGAACAATAGTTAGAGTATCAAGGTTTAATAGAAAACCTATTATAAACTCACCATATAAGCTTAATGGAATAAATTTTTAGTGTATCATAGAAGTACAAAAATTGTTCACATTTAAGGTATCACATTATAAGTAAGAAACTTGAAATTAGCTTTGACCTAATAAGAGTTTTTGGAGCGCAGTTATTAAATTTTTCAAAATTTTCGAAAGAAACGGGTCAACCAAACCCGTATCATTTTTTATTAAATAACTTGTATGAAAGATATATAGTATAACACTTAAAACTATAAAGAGCTTTAACCTCGATACAACCAATTATATGTGATTTCCTCAGAAATAATTACACTCGTTAAAATAACGAAGATCCACACACCATAATCTGCAGTGAAAAATGTGGTCAGATTATTACTAGCGCATTGTCAGTGCCACATCTCCGCCAATGCTTCAGCACAAATATGAGCATTTAATAAGCATCTGTGATTTGTTTTCTTTTTGTCAATGAAAACACTGAACACATCTGTTCTGAGTGGCTCCGTAAGAGCACTAAGCGTTCAGTAGCAGAGACAGTCATGTCAGTGCAATGGGACATCCTTGACTTTGTAAACACTTGACCACTTGTTAACTAGCGGGGCAGGAACCAAATTAAAATAGGAAAAACAGAAAAGTAGAAAAAGGGAAGAAGGGAAGAAGTTGAAAAGAAACAAACAAAACAACGCTGAAGAGAGAAACTCAGCAAACGCATTCAGCAATGCGCTCACAATTGTAAGCATCAAAAGAGTGAATGAGAGAGAGCGCGGTAAACAAATTCGCCAACATGCTTGCTGTTCATGGACGTTGCGTATACGCAGTGGCTGACAAACAGAACAGGCATATTTTGAAGAAATGAATGTAATTCATGTGAAATATGAGTATGTATGATTGCGTCTTAAATATATAAGTGTGTGTGAATGCTATATGAATGTGATTACATGCCAGCGTAGCCACCAGACGGTCCAGTTTCCATTCAGTTCAGCTCGAGAGTTCAACGTCAGTAGACGTTCCAGTTAAATAGGCGCTACTGACCAACGGGCGTTAGGAAAAAGTTTGTATTGAAATAAAAAAGATACATTTGTATGTAAATAAACTCTACTATATGAGGATGAGCTGAGAGTTTAAATAGAGTTTCTTGTGGCCCAATATACAAAATCGGCGTATAAAGAAATAACGAAAAACAGGCGTATAAGTAAAAGTCAGCTGAAGTGCAGTGATAACCAAAGTATTACATCGAGAAGAGCAGCCAGCGCCATTGACTGTAGTTTAAAGCAAGAGTGTAGATACAAAAGCGAACAGTCAGTGTTGAACGGTGCACACCTGCAGATGAAGGATGCTGAGCGCATTGCTGGCTTAGAATCTACACGTATATAAATTGATAAAATCGTGACTAACATATGCGAACTCAAACGTGAAGAAGTGATAAGAATTTCCAAAAAAAAATAAAAATAATAAAAACAACAAAAAATTATTTTGTTTAAAATAAAAAATATTTTTCTGAAAAAACGAAAGCACAAGTCTATACCTCGCTTTCAAAAGTGTCGTGAAAACTCATCAAAACTTGTTTTCCAAAATATATGAATATCAACAACTAAGAGCTGACCAGATTGCTACTAAACAACCGCTTGTAAGATGACCGAAGTGATTGAACTGAATGTAGGCGGCGTCCACTACACCACCGTGCTGAACACACTGCTCCAGGAGAAGTCTTCACATCTGCACGAACTCTTCAGCAACACCGATGTACTGGTGAAGGACAACAAAGGACGCTACTTTCTGGATCGCGATGGCGTACTCTTCCGCTACATACTGGATTACTTGCGCGATAAGCAGCTCAGCCTGCCGGAGGGCTTCCGCGAAAAGCAGCGCCTACAGCGCGAAGCGGAACATTTCAAATTGAGCGGCATGTTGGAGTGCCTACGCAGCGGCAGCGATATGCGTGCCCCCGGCTGCATCACTATCGGCTATCGCGGAAGTTTCCAGTTTGGCAAAGATGGGTTGGCCGATGTGAAGTTTCGCAAGCTCTCACGTATACTCGTTTGCGGGCGTGTGGCGTTGTGTCGCGAAATTTTCGGTGATACGTTGAATGAGTCACGCGATCCCGATCATGGTGGTCCCGATCGTTACACATCACGCTTCTTCCTCAAGCATTGTTTCATCGAGCAGGCTTTCGATATGCTGCACGAGCGTGGCTTCCGCATGGCAGGCAGTTGTGGTTCGGGTACGGCGGGCTCGGTAGCGGATCCCAAGCCGGGTGTGGACACAGAGGAGAATCGATGGAATCACTATAATGAATTTGTTTTTGTACGCGAATAAGCAGGTGATGTTGGCAAACAGTTGTTGTTGTGGCGATTGAGCAACAGTCGTCGATTGTAACTATACGTTTTTACATTATAAGTAGCAGAGGCGTTTACTTGGTATGTTGCATGTGTATATTTAAAAGATATGTAACAAAGCAGAGCATGCTTACAGCAAATAAAACACAAAGCTGTAAGAAAGTAGTGAAAAAGCAGCGTACATTTTTCATAGCCGCAAGCAACTTATTCCCCAAACCACTCAGCCAGCTAGTCTTCTTCAACACAACTTTACCACAATGCGAAGCAACATGTCATTGCAAACAATTCTCAGCTCTGCCACATACAAATGAGCGCGTGTGTGCCATTGGCCATATTTACAGTCGCATTTTTTTCATTTTTTATTACAACTTGCAACGTGCCACACTCGTGCGAAATAACACTCAGCCTGCGGCAACTAGTTTCTACCGCCTTTAGTGCCACGGTAAGGTCAAAGCATACATTTTGTATTTTGTAAAGAGAAAAATACAGTTAATGCATGTCAAGACGCAAAGTATTTCACTATATACACTTAAATAGTTAAACACACACACGTGCAACATTTGGAATGTATTTACTCCATGTAATGTGCGAAAGAAAAGAAAAGCAGCAAACTGTGTAAAGTAGGAAAATGCATACATACATACGTACATATATAGTTGTAAATAGCTTAGCATTTGCTTATATTTATTTTAAGCACCGAAACGTGTGGCAATTAAAATAAAATATAAAATTCGTATAAGAAAAGTGTACTTGCATGTACTTGTAGATAAAAGTGATATAAAGTTTTTCACTTTATGCCGCGCATGCAAGTAATTAGCTGACAGACTCTATAAACCACCAAGTACTTAATGTACAAAGCTAGCATTTCAATGGATGGCTTATTTATAACTAAAGCTATGACGAAGAGATACAAGTAAAGTTTAGAATATCTACCTATGCTTACAACAAGTAAACACTAAAGTAGGCTTGAGTGCACTTGAGATATTTTTGTTGTTGTGGTAAGCTTTTAATATGTTAAACCATACAACTATCTAAATCACTGAGCTCAAATAATGAAAATTTTTCAGAACAAAAATTTATTAAAAGTTTATATCTCTAGTAATTCCCAAAAGACAGTTATATTTTTTCACGCGAGATACATTTTTATTAAACACTTTCAAAAAATCCGTTTAAATCAATGAACACATAATTGGTATTCCGTATTGGTTTTACGCAGGAGATTGCAAAGTAATTAACCTGAAGTGAATATATGAAGTCTTCAGTGAACTTATTACTCCTACTTTTACCTCAAGCATATGTGGCTCTTATCATATGTTGAATTAAGTAAAATATTATTTTTACAACAAACTTCTGCTAAATATTAAAGCTTTACGTTAATGATGAATTTTAGAAAATACGAAAGGTAAAAAACCTGTAGAAATAACGTATGTGATGGAAATAAAATTAAAGATTTTAACTATGTGAAAACAAGAATAAAAAATATAAAATTGCTTATTTTAAGAAAAAGTACTGACATATTTTCACTTATTATGAGTTAATTGACGATTGCTAACAATCAAAAGCAGAAAGTGCATTCAATCAGGCTTACGCGGTAGTCAGTCATTTCAATATCACTTTTTCGTACAAACAAAATTCATTCAATGAGTTCTTGACTGACGGAGTAACGTATCACTTAATCCGCTTTATGTTATATCCAGTTTTGTGTATCATCATTCAACACATAAGATAATGATGTGTTCTCCCTGTACTCATCCACCTGATATTGTAGGTATGAACAATACAGAGTTCATAATCCACTTATATGAATGCTCAGTATACTTCATGTATTACTTTTAAGGGAGTGTTTTTATGTAAAAAATTATTCAGGAATGCCAATTTTTAATTGAGTCCTGATGTTAAAATTAAAACTTTAAAATTTTATTTTTGGTTTGAATGTGTCAGTTTGTACTGTTCGGCAAAGAAATGGTCCAGAGTGTTGAAGATGATGGCTCTGTGCGAACTCTAGTTGAAAATAGTAAAATTTCTTGTTTTAATTCTTAATTCTAAAACAATTTCCTATTTCAATTCTTAATTATTTGCTTGAGATAAATATTTATAATGCATTAATTTTAACCCTGAAATCATTAAGATCTTCACTTTTTTAAAAAATCTTTCTTTCCGTTTGCTTAATACAAAAGATTAATAATCGCATGTTATATACACGGGAAATAACATATATTTTAGATAGGGTTTAAATTGAAAATAAACAGCTTTTTAACATTGAGTAATTTTTTTTAAGACAAAATCTGAAACTTCAGGTTACGTCAGCAAAATAAAAATCAACTTGAGACATAACAGAAAACCTAATATAAAAGTGTATATCAATTTCCAGTATCCTTATACCTCTACAACAAGTTGCAAAACTGAGCAGAGAACTCAACTATTTAGAAATCTAACGAAAGGTGCAAAATCGCAACCAAAGCTGTTCGAACAATCTGATACCATTTATTAAATTTAATTACGCTTTCACTTATGTAACTATTAATTTAATTATTACTTAAGTTTAATTACGCTCTCACTCACGTGAGAGGCATCTTTGATGTTTTCTTCAACGAATGTTGAATGTCGGGCTCTCAAGCCGATAAAGTTAAGATTGTCCGACGGGATTCTCACATTGATTATCCCGATATATTTTTAAGAACTAATTTAATTTTTTCAAAATGATTTAAAAAGTACATTTCAACTTTTTGTAAGAAAGTAAATCTAGATTGCTAGCATTAAGATAAATGTATGTACATATGTATGCATTTGTCACGAACCTTACTTGTCAAAAAACTAAGCGTATTTGACGAAGTAATACAACTGTTTGCGACACTTTGTAAACGAATGCCAAATATTTAAAACGAAATGAAAGTAGCAAATTATATCATTTATAGGAGGGTAGAAAATAATATTGCAATAAAACTTGTGCAAATAAAACTATGTTGATATAAAATAAATGAACTACAAGTATTGAACTAATATTAGTACGGGTCTTAGCATTTAAATAAAGAAAACCAAAAACTAAAAAAATACTACTTACATAACTAAAATTAAGTAACAATGATTTTAAATTTAATTGGAGCTGCAGCAAATTTATGCAAATATATGGCAACGCTGCCAAGTGAACTAAAATTTATCGACATAAATTTGCGCTTGTCGCCGATTTGGGAAAATATAAGGGCGAATGAAAATAGAGTAGTTTAAATTTATGTAATGCAAATACAAAAGTGGCATAAGTATTTAAGGAGGATTCAAATTAAAATGCAAAACAGAAACAAAACCTTATTAATTTCCATGTGCATAATGCAACAACAAAAAAAAATCTGAGTAAACACAAAGCGATATTATCTGGCGTAAATATTTGTGCGGATTGAAATTTGCAATGGCAAATGAATTCGCAAATGTAATATATAATACTTATTATTATTAGTAGCGTAATTGATAAAACGATGAACACAAACAGTAAGGCAACAAAGTACAGTAGAAACTAGGAAAGAAATAATAAGCAAATATTTGAGGAAATATATCTGGTAAAAATACGACTATGTAGGTATGTAATGCAAAGCAAATAATTAAAATCCACGCTAATGACAGAAAGCGATAGCGAACGAAAGCAAACGCGCTGCTGGCAGGCAGCAGAAAAAGCGAGGCAATTTGCAAATGAAAGAAAAATTGGTAATAGAAATGTGTGCTTAATTGAAATAAAATGTAACAAGCGTATTTTGTGAGAGGCGCGCTGCTGACAGTCGAGAAAATCGTTAAGGCCACAAAATAGCCAACAAACAATCACCACTAGATAATGGAACTCTAACAAGACCACCAACAAAGCAGCACTAGTGAAGCAAAATAAAAAAAATAAGAAATAATTAAAAAACAAATGTAACAACTACAACAAACACCCACCTTCAATTCAACGCGTTCTATTCACTCTCCAATTACTACTCGTTGTTATTTATGTAAGAACTTAATGCCCGACTATCACACCGAATTGTAATGAAATGTTGGTTTTGCTTGCGGCCAGTCTGTGCACAGCAAGCACAAATACCACCAAAAAAACTAAAACAACAAAAAACGTAAATACCAAAATAAAAAAAACAAGCAGCAAGTTGTGTAATACATTTTTGAAAGCATCATTTGGAATGTGGCAACTTTTCACATTTATTAAATGGTTGCCGAAGTATTCCGACACAAGTTGCTATGACAATTGCATGTGTGTTGGGGAATAGCAAAGCGCATTTGTGTTTAGCTAAGTAAAATGAAATGTCAGAGGGCGTACAAAAACTATAAAAGTTCACTTTCCCAAAAAGAGTTAGTGAAGAAAGTGACCAAAAATATTTGATGCGTTGCTCACAATTTTGGGAATTGCAAGAAAAAATATTTCATGATTGATGGCTGTTCCCAACTCCCTATGGCAACTACCCCCATAAGTCACGCACTTTCTCGTTGACTTTTTATATCAAACACTTCCGTTGCGCGCGGGCACCACAAGGTGAAGCGCAAAACAGCAAAGCACATACGAAATACAGACATATTTTTGATTTGTGACCGTTAGTTATGCGTTGTGTAAATGCTCATCAATCATAAATTTGCTCATATGCTCTTCAACAATTCTAATCGCTGCTTGGCCGCTGCCGTTTGTATTGTATGAGTGACAGTTTTTAGTTTACGCTCGAATGAGTGGTGGCAACAACAACCGGTAAGATACTAGATATATGTGATTAGAATGATTGAAAACTGATTTTGTGGCCAATGCTACGAAGCACTTTTCTATTTGCGGCACTTTTCTTATGCTAGCAATTTAAATTTGTGACACTGCGTATGAGTAACATATGCGTTACCTTCACTAACTAATGAATTCTAATTTCAACAATCCACAGAGTTTTCAAGGAAATTCAAAGCCCAAAATCAAAATTTATAATGTTAGATTTGTGAAATTGCCTTTAATGTTATTTTCTGTTTAAATATTTTCTAATAAGCAGTTTTGAATACTTATGTCATTGCTTTCTTATCGAAAACAATTTGAAACTTTAGGCAATTTATTTACCGGTTCTAAAAACAATGATTAGAAATTTGCGCAAAACTTTAATGTTTTGTGATTTTCGACATATTTGTGAACCCTAAATATCAACTTGAGCTCAAGACATCTCGAGACGATTTGAAAGTTCTAAGACAACATCTTACACTCTGTGGATATTGTGTAAATGCAGTTTTGATATCAAATTAATTTATTCGAGGACTTATAAAACCCACTCTATGCTTCTGTGAGTATTAGCATCAAATACTATGAATGCGTCGAGTACGAGCAATCGTGAGTAATATCATACAATTCGCATCATAATCGATAATATTATTGAAAAATAATAGAATATGAGTTGAGAAATCCATTATTTTAAGCTTTTCGACACTTTTTCAACTGTCCGATATTATATATTGCTGTACTTTTACAAAATGATTCAAAACAAAACTGTAAAAAAATATTCAAAATGATGCCAAATTCACAATTTATATAGAAAAGTATACAGGAAACCTGTGCTTCCCGAAATAACCAAAAAAGTTAAGACAAAAATTGTTCACTGCATAATTTTGCAAAACTACTTACAAATAAACACTTTCATTTATTTTACAAACAAAAATTAAAAGTACACAAACAAGAACACCTATATATAGTTTCGTACCTAGTTTCCGAACTAAAAAGTAGTTTTACTGATTAAAATACCACACACGTACAAACTAATAGTAACACACAAGAAGTATAAAAATAAAGGAAACAAAATTCGAAATACAAAACATACTTAAACAAAACTATGCTAAAAAAGTATAAAAAAGGTAAACCAAACCAAACAAACAACTATGGAACGACGACAAATATTGTTATTGTATGGGTAAGGGAAGAGACGACAAGCGCTTAGTAAGAATTTCAAGTATATTTTCGTGAACAATATAACGAACGATGTAAACAAAGAAATGTGTTTAAACGAAGCTACAAAATATCCACAAAGCAGATATTTAGATATTTATTTATGTTTACTGTAACTTCAAAGTCAAACTACAAAATGTAAACTAATTCTTGGAAGATGTCAAATAAAATATTAAGAAAATTGATAAAAATATAAATAAAAGGAGAAAACTTAAAATCAAAAAAGTATATTTATAAAGGCAGTTCTGAATATAAATAAATAAGGTTTATTTGAATATCGTATAGTAAGTACTGCGAGTGTAAGTCAATTTCTGTGTATTTGAGGATACGCAAAAATCCCACTATATATGGCCTATCTTAAGAATCGACATTTCCAAAAAGGCCCCTTAAGGTGACGATGACTCAAGGAGCTCGTGTTATCTATTAATATTATATATATATTATATAAATATAATATTAATCTATATAAAACTTTGCTAGTCAAATACATATATAATTTATTTGTGAAACTACAGATAACATATCAGGTGGATAAGTGTGTTAGTCTCCGGTTTGAAAAATATAGTTTCGAGAAACACGCGATTTAACAAACAATGTTTTTACAATTTTATTAATTCAAAAGCCAAAAAATTTTTCGATTTATATTTATTTATAGACTGGTCTAACTCCTAAAGTTAAAATTTCAAAAATCATTAAGGACTCACACAATCAGTAGCTATATTACTAGAGACTGGTATGACTTTCACACCAAAAGAAGTTACTTAGACGTCCATAAAAATTCTGTTCTGTTAAAAAGTATTCTCAAAGCCAGAAAGTTCGATGAAGGGTTAAAAAAAATAGTCTTTATAATCGCTTTTTCATAGCATTTGGAATCACCAGAGAAACAGATCATTGCTCCAACAATGCCAGTGGAGAGAATATTTAACCAAAGTACAAGATCGGTGGGATACTTTTCCCCCGTCAATATTTAGATTCAAATATTTTTCAATCTAGAATATACCGCAAGTATTTCCCTTCTCCGCTATATGAAGGTAAGTATCAATATTAAGTGAAAACAAACTACGGAATTGCTTCATTCCAATAAAGTCGGATTGAAGGCAGTGTCAGTTTTAGCCACTCAGTTGCTCACTATGTTGAGGTACCTTATAGAAGGTATCTAGAAATAAGCAATATCTGGCTGCTATCTAATTTCATCAAGTTCTAAGAATTGAAAAGCACCCAGCTCCGCCCAAGCATCAAAATTCAAAATAATTAATCGATTTGGCATATTGTTGCTGCGCTTAAGGTACTTCGTTCACTCAGTAGTATTCTGGCAACGCAAAAAAATTAATTCCTTGGAAAAATAATAATTAAAGAAATATCTAGCCATGTCAACCATAACCTAAGCTTAAAGTCCTAAACATATATTGCTTAATATATATAAATATTTCTAAACCCATTCGATGTTGCTGACATTTTGTGACAATAAAATATATATTTCAGCTGCAAGTAAGTGTTTTGATTCCAGTACAATATATTTCGCTAAAAACACGATGAAGTTTTAAAAGCTTTAAATCCACTAAGTTATTGCTTTAGTCTTGCAATTTTACGTTATTTTCTTTTCTGTTTTTGTTGTTTGTAGTATATGCCAACAGTAACAAAGCACAAGAGTTTCAAGCTAACGCTTGCAAACACTCCTCGCATTCCGAAATCGCTGCAAAATTGCAGAAATATTTCAGCGAGTATTTGCAGTTTAAATGTGAAAATTCCACTTGCATCAACAACGTGACATTTGCAACTGTAAAGTTTTGGCAATTCTATGCACTCATGCATGCACACATATACTTCTTTATATATATAATATATACATATAGATATTTGTTTAAATAAGCCTGCAGGCGCCTCTGGGTGTGTGTTTGTTTTCATTGCGTTTTAATTTGTTTTTGCCATTTTCTTTAACTATTATATTTCTCTATTTATTTAGTGTTCCATTGTTGTTGTTTCTTTGAGTTATTGCACTTTTCTATTGTTGCTGTTGTTTGTTTTGTGCTCCCGCTGTTGGCCACATTACTGGCATTGTTGCTCACTTGTGACTTTCCTCTGGCGCTCGCGGCATGCACTCCTACCGGCAGTTGTTACTGCTCGACGCACTTGGGGTCGCATGCACAGCTATTTATGTGCCATTGTATATATACATATATATGTGTGAATGCACCAGATGTCGAGCGGAGTGTGCTTAGAAGGAGCTGGTGCGCCATGTCGTCATTTGCGGTCGCGCCTCTGCCTCGTTTGTTTTCCTCCAGCTTCGCTCCTTTTGCTACGCTTTTGTGCTTTTAATGCATTTTTAATAATGTTTGCTTTCAGCAGCGGGATGCCATTTACTGCATTTTGTATGTGTAGATTATTGTGTGTATAGCGAGAAAATGCGCGACCTTTTGTTGGATTTTCTTTTTTCATAAAATAGATTGAAACCCCCATCTACGAAATTAGCTTTCACAAGTTAATTTTCTTAAGATTTTCTTAATTAACTTTGATGAAAAAATCTTTACCTTTTCTAACTTTGTACTTAAGCATATATACTCGTACATACAAATTTAGAAAATTAACGGCACATGCTGCAGGGTCTTTTCCGTGAGAATATCAAAATATTCTCATTATATCTGTGGTTCGATCTGCAAAATGTGTTCGAAGGTTGTAGCGTTGCCCTTGGTCATACAAAGGTTTGATATTGATTTATCAGCTTGTATATCAGCTATATCCTGTAGAGGTCTGATATCGGGGATTTTTGGAGAGAAGAGAACATGTGAAATATTTCAGGTCGATATCTCAAAACCTGAGTTCGCTTGTATACAGACATCTAGACATGGCTAAATATACTCAGCTCGTCACGCTTATCTGTTACAAACTTCGTCGCAAAATTTAATATTCCCTGTTCAGGGTAATTAATGAAATGGTTCAGCTTTATGTCTGTACTCTTTTCGGATTAAACTAGTGTGGTCCAAATTTTTTTAATTAAATAAAATGTGTTGCTGTCTTGGGTATTTTCCGGGTTCAGCAGACTCCACACTCCACTTTAAAGAATAAGTTATGTCATCTCTGAGATAGCCAGCCATGTTTTCTGATCATTAAAACAAATATTTGATTTTTATTGGTATAAGACGAGACAGCTCAGCTAATTCAATGAAATATCAACTACAAAATATATAAAAGATGCTTAGCTCCGATTTGCAAAAAAAAAAAATGATTTGAATAAGAAACACTATGTAATTAAGTATGTCCTTGACAGGGTTGCAAATAATACATTCAAAATAAAATAGAATTTACATTTGAATCAATTTTTGTTTATTTTTTAGTGCCAAAAATTTTAATTAACGTAATTTTCAAACTTTTTATCCCAAAATTCTGAGTAAAAGTTTAATTTTAAAAGCCACTTTAAAAAATTCCTTGTCATTAATTAAAAATTCAAACAGGAAACTCTTTTAGAACTTATTTATATTCGCGTTTGTGTACTCAGTGTTCTACCAGCTTGACTATCTTTTGAACAGAAAAGCTTTTTTTTAATCAAATATCCATTTAGTTTTGCACTATTAATCTTATGTATTGTACATTTAATTAGTTTTAAGTATATTATTAGAAATATGTAAATCTTTGCCGTTTATCCCTTTTCAATCCAGCTTTTAATAATAAAACTAAAATTATATTTATTGCTACAACTTTTAAATTAAAGAAATATTTTCTAAATTTTTAATTCCGATTTGGTATTTTAAAACTCACAGCCCTGGTCCCTGTATCCTACATTGAAAGAGAACCTAACATAACTAGTTTATATCATATAAATAATTTAATTCTTTGCTCTTTTTTTAAATCAATATACATACAAGTATGTGTGTTTTATATCGCCAAAGGAAGCTAATTCGAAATTTAATTAAACAGAAAACTATTAATTGAAATAAAAATACTAATTTGAAACAAATTAATTGCAGAAAACGTGCTGAATGACGCAAACTCATTACAATTTTTACATAAACACAATGAAAAAACTACAAAAATCAGAAAAAACGTTAACTTCGGCTACACCGAAGCTAAAATACCCTTCACCAAATTGGATTCCGTTCTTGTTTATATGGTAGCTTCATATATGCTGTGATGCGATCTGAATAATTTCTTCAAAGATTTTATTATTGCTTTAGATAATGATCCATAGCAAATTTCGTGAAGTTATCTCGTCAAATGAAAAAGTTCTCCTTGCAAGCACTTGATAATAATTATTCAGTTTGTATGGCAGCTATAAGCTATAGTGGTCCGATATCGGCCGTTCCGGCAAATTTCAGCTGGATATCTCAAACACTGAGTGACTGCTTCGTACATATACAGACAGACGGCGGACAAATTGCTAAATCAACTCAACTCATCATGCTGTTTATTTATACATATACTTTATAGGGTCTCCGACGTTACGAATTTCGTGGCCAGCTTAATATACCCTGTTCAGGGCATAATAATAGCAACAAATTTATAACCGCATCACAACAAAGAAAACAATAAAAATGTAAAACAAACAAGGAAAATAAAGAAAAGAGCAGCAAAATGCACACACACATACACCTGCACGTGTGTAAATACAAATGCAATTAAATAAAGCACACACATAATAAAGAAGAAATATTCCGAAACCACCAAAGGCAAAAGTGCGAAGGTGGTGTAAACACCCCCGCACATACAAGTAAAAGAAATGAAATGCACACGCAAAAAGGGGAAAGCGACGAAGAATAGGAGACACAAAAAGGCGAGACAAAAGCAACGGGTTAAATTGTTTTAAATTAATTTACTTTCAGTGCGTTATTGTGTGGGTATGCTGGTTGGGCGCCTGAAAGTGGGCAATGAACAACTTCTATGCAGCTGCTTTTATATGTGAACATTGTTGTATGTGCACTGCCATCAACAATTCAGTTGCATGCAGGTAAATTAAAATTTCATTAATTCGGTGCGAAATATTTAAATTGAAATTTGGACATCGTTGCTATAGAGTTTTCACCTTTTTGCATTCTGCAATTTATTTCCATTATTTTACGCTATTTCAATAGCAATTAAAATTTATGTACAGCAAAATATTAAAAAACAATGTTTTTTACTAACTTTTTCCAATATCTCTTTTTCTTGTTATATGTTTACTAACACTAGAACTACGAAGCGGTCAAAATGACCGGTTACATCATTTATTTATACAATTTCCTCTTTATTCCTATTTAAT